CAGGAGTTGGAGGTTGCTGTGAGCTGTAATGCCACGGCATTCTACCCAGGGGAACAGCTTGAGGCTCTGTCTCAAAAAAAAAAAAAAATGCAGATTCCAGACACTTCTCGGATCTGGCATGAACAGGGGTGGGGCTCCTGGGAAACTGTGGTACCACCCAATCAGACCAACACATGGATCCTATTAGTCTCCTCAACCATCTAGTATTGTGCTCAGCCTCAAGGAGTGTTGGCAGAAGTCAGAGGAGGAAAATCTAAAAAGTTGGCCAAGGGGCAAGCACGGACTGGCTGGCAGACATGAGCGCTCAGCCACCTTGGGAGGTGGCTGGTAAGTGGTTCTCACGTACCATTCCTATGACATGCTGCATAATTATACTTTATGCCCGTCCACATCATTCCCTTTCTGACTTTGGTTTCACTTGAATGGGTCTATCTCTAAGAGTTAGACCTCTGGTTATGCTGACAAAATAAATTTCTAGGCTTCAAAGGGCTGAGGACTAGATCCAGTGACCCCCAAGACATTGCTGCTGCCCTGGCAGGCCCCAAGACCAATAGGATGCCGTTGAGTCAGGCTGCAGGACCCTCGCAGGCACTCTCTCTGCCTCTTCACCCACAGCATTTGTCTATTTGGGAGGTTCCGCCTGCATCCACGCCATGTGGTCCCCCTTGTCCACCTTACCTCTCCAAACTCTACTCATCCTTCAAGGGGCAGCTCCAGGAAACCTCCCTATGAACCTGCCCTGGTTATTCCAGCACCCTCATCATCTATCCCTCTCATTTCTGAATCTTTCAATTACCGTCTAAGTCACAAAATGTAATGCCTCATTTAAATACCAGCTGATGCTGTCTTCTGTTGGTTGAGCTCCCCAGCATGACAGTAAACTCCTTAAATATGATTCATTTTCCTCCACTGCTCACCACACTCAGCACAGGGTACACAGTAGATATATAAAGACTTTACTGGCTGGCTTGTATTTGCCTGCCACAAATAGCCTCACACTGTGATTAGCCAAGATGATGTGGAAAAAGAAAGAGAATCAAGAGCCGAAAAACCAGGCTGCTAGTCCCAGTCCCTCCAGGATCTCACTGTGGGGGCCTCACTGTAAAATGAAGATAATTCCACCTGCACCTCGAGGGACCAAACAGCTGAACTGAGATAGTGTGCAAGAGGCTTGCGAGCCGGAACCCTGCCCGTAGAAATGCTATCCTGGGAGCCATGACTTACCAGCACTTCTAGGGGATTCAAGCACTGCTCTGAGAAGTCTGGGGGGCTGAGAACCCCACTTCTCTGTTGCCCTTTGTAAAGGCTTTAAAACACCCAGACAGGTGTCAGGAGGTCCTGTAGAAGAACGCAGACTTTGCTGACCCAGACAACGGGTGAATAGAGCAGCTTGTCCACTCTGTCGTCAAAGACCAGTCTGTCCCACCTTACCTAAGCCGAAGAGCTCAGCTACCCCGTCCCAACAAGACAGGGAGCTGTTGGCCCAGAGGACAGCCTTACCGTTGAGAGGTTCCTCTGGCCATGCACGGGCTGGGTGACATTCTTGCGGCCCACCCCCAAATCCAGCTTGTCAAGTAGGTCTTTCAGCTGCTGCAGAGTGAGACTATCGCCCTTGCCATAGCGATGCATGAGATCCTGCAGGAAGGCAGAGGCGCTGATGGCTGGCACGTCCATGGATGCAGCACGGGCCTCAGGAGCAGCTCTCCATAGGCTAAGCAGGGCCAGCAGAAGGCCACTGTGGAAGGCTGGGTACAATAGCTTCATGGTGACCAAACCAGCCTGTAAGAGCAAGAAGCCAGGTGAAGGCAAGGCCTCTCCCACCCGACCTGTCTGCTGACAACTGTACCAGGCTTCTGTAGCAATTCTGTGCCCCTTCTCAATTCCTCTGCTTAGCCTTTGGGAAAAACCATTTTTTTGAAAGGACAGAATGAAAACTAATACAAAGGACAAATTCAACAGGCCTGACTAAATTTAAAAATTAAATGACATGGTGATGTGGTTATTACTTTTAAAAAGACCGTTTAGTGATACTGAAATAATTGTGGATTAAATGATAACTAGTATTTGCTTCAGAAAAAAGGAAGGGTGTACGTGCACAGGGGTGCAGATAAGACAGGAAGGGCATGAGGTGACAACTGTCGAAACTAGGGGACAGGGAGCTGGGAATTCATTAGACTTCTGCCTATTTTAGTTGTGTTTTAAATTCTCTGAAATAAAAAATATTATTAAAAAATAAACACTGCCCAGGTGCAGTGGCTCACACTTGTTATCCTAGCACTCTGGGAGGATTGCTTGAGTTCAGGAGTTCAAGACTAGCCTAAGCAAAAGTGCAACTCCACCTCTGCTAAAAATAGGAAAACTAGCTGGGTGTTGCGGTAGGTGCCTGTAGTCCTGGCTACTCAGAAGGCTGAGGCAAGAGTTCGAGGTTGTTGTGAACTATGATGCCACGACACTCTACCCAGGGTGACCAAGTGAGATTCTGTCTCAAAAAAAATTAAAAACAAATACATAC